TCCTCAAATACTCTTTTTTTTACTTTGTCTTTTTCTCCACTCGTATCCCGTTTGTTTCGTACTTCAAATTCAAATGGTTCTGGTTCTTTAAATTCGTATATATCTTCTGTATTATCTATTATTTTAGGCTCAGATACGATTGTTTCTATTTTTGACGATTCTAAATTTTTTTCTAATTTTGTTGAAACTAAAACAACATTTTCTTTTTCTTCTATTTTTATTTCATCTTCTGGATCAGGTTCAACTCTGACAAGTTCTAGTTTCACTGCTTTATCAAAACCTTTTAATTCTGATCGTATTTGATTCAAATCAAAATCTCGACCTTTAGGTTGTTCTTCATCACTATCTGGTTCAGATTTTATACCTTGTGATTTGCTAATCGTCCTTCTTAAACGTCTACCTCTGCGTGGTTCTTCCAAATTATCTTTATCTTCTTCACCTTCGCTAGTTTCATCAGGTTTTATTCTATCTTCCGTTCTATATCTTACATCTCTACGTTTCCTTTCGTCTGTGGCCTTAGATTTGATTCTCGCTTGTTCAGATTCTGTAGTATCTGAATCATATGCCTCGCTTTCTTCAGTTTCCGATGGAGCTATATCCGCATGTCCAGATGTTCTTCTAGTACGTCTTCGATGTTCTATACTGGATGTATCATTATTTCTTGTTCGTGTTTGACGATTATTAGCTGGTGTTGCTGGACTTTTAGTTCTCGAACTGGAACTTATAACAGATAACGGAGTGGTAGACCTAGCCGGTTGGATTATTTCTTTTTCCTTATCTTCTTTTTTAACTTCTTTCGTTGATGTAGACGAAACAACTGACGTCGTAGGTGCAACACTTTGCGCTCGGCGCCGATTTTGAGATGTACTTGAATTAGTATTAGAAACAATTTTTGACGATTTATTTATGTTATTTGATAAATTCGTACTGGGAGTTTGAGGTCGTGAAGTAGCTTTAATTCGTTTTACCCTTCCCTGAGCTTGTGTAAAATTTTGCGCTATTCTTGATGGTTTAATCCATTCATCATATCTTGTATTCCATCCAGTATAATGCACTAAATACATTGGTTCTGTACCATCTTTTTCCATATCAATAACTTTTGCTTCATAAGTGACTTTAGACTCATGAGTAGGTCCATAATATACTTTCAGCCTATCTCCTAATTCTACAGGTCCTTTATAACAAGGAGCTGAGTCTGTTAACTGTTCATCTGTACGTGACTTTTCTGCTTCATATTCTTTTCGCTTCCTCCCTCGTTTCTTTAATTCTTCATCTATCAATCGTCTTTGTTTAGATAACGTTTTTCTTTCTGATTCTCTTGATGGAGTTCGAGTTTCTCTATTTTCAGAAGACATTTTATTTTTTACGTTATCATCCTTAGATTTAGATCTTGTTTTAGCAGCATCCTCCTCTTTTATTTTATCATCTTTCTTTTCTTGTTTTTTAGGTTCATTTTTCTTTTTTTCTATTACTTTTTTTTTTGATTCCTCTTTATTTTTAGATTTACCTCTAATTGGTAAGGATAAAGATGTTGAAATTTTTTGAGATTTTTCACTACTAGATGATTCAGCTTCACCTTCAACATTCACGTCACTTTCTTGTCCACTACCGTTTTCTTCAAATTCATCCTTCTTCTTTATTTTTACAATTTCTTCTTCTTTTATTGGTTCTTTTTTAGCTTCCTTCTTCTCTTTCTTTTCCTCTTCTATGATTTTTTTATCTTCTTCTTCTTTTTCATTTTTAGTAACTGACACTTGAGGTGGTATAGGTGTATTTCTGTCTTTGTCTCTAATTAGACTTCTTCCAGGACGTTGTTTACGCATAGTACCCCTTGGATGATTTACCATAGTACAACCTAATTTTCTATAAAAATCTTCAAAGGAGTGTAAGAATTTCTTATAGGCCTGTTTAACCAAATTGTGCGTAGATGGAGAATTTTGCATTGTAAAACTTAAGCGTCGT